CACAAACATTTAATTAATTATTAAAGTGCAAATTTTTGTGTTATGGAGCTAAAACAAATAAAAGGTCCTGTAATGGCATCCAAATCCTAGACATTCTGCAGATTCCATTCCAAATCCTGCTAGTTTACAGTTAATTCAAATGATGCACTGACCATTAGCCTGAGATCAGAGCAACTTAAAGCAGCAGGTCACCCCAAAATCAAAGAATCATATTTTTCAGATATGCTGAAGTGCTATTTATACATCTAGATTGTTGTTGTGAGTTGCCTAGTTTTGGAGATATTGTCTGTAGAAATCTTCACTTGAATAAAATGGGACTGAATGGCATTCATTCTGTGACGATTGAAGCACCAAAAAATATCTTTAAAGGATTATACAGCAATGTCCCTTACCAGAAATCAAGACTAGGTTACTCAAGATACATCAGAGACCTTATAGTGAGCAGTTTCATGTGGGAACTATTTTCTTTCTATCAAACTCCACACACAAACCGTATCACTGCACAGAAGATAGCGCCAGGGCATTCGTGCCCCTACAGTGTTTACTAGATGTAAACATCAATAGCATCCTTTTTGGCTGAGCTCCAACATTAGCTAGCTCAGTATCAGTTAGCATCAGCTACCAACAATAACAAATAGCAGCAATACTTTCTTAGTTAATAATAATAATTGCTTGATACTGTTATCTCACCTAGCACCACTGACCACATCCAGTCACATTCTCAGGAGCACAAGTGTCCCAGCACTCAGATAATCAATATTATCGATAAATACAATATTTTTTCCATATTGATCAATATTATCGATAAATACAATCAATAGCTTTTTATCTTATTGTTTTTTCCTGAATGTGATTATGATGGTTATTGTTCTTATTCAACTCCATAATTTAGGCATTATGTTTACGTTTGTTATACAGTAACGACCACTGCTGCTGTGCGGTTTATGTGGGCTATGTTTCTTGCTCCTGTTTCAACTGGGGAACACAAAAGGTGAAGAGTATGATTTAATTATGTTTTGAGTAGTTTTTGCATTTGTGTCATGAGCTGTAAACACAATAAAAAATATTGGAAATTAAAGGCTGTACAGTGCGTTTTTTAAAGACATTTTTAGCATGCATTGCTTGTAAACAGAAATGCAAAACAGGCTATCATACATATCCATTCATTCACTGGTTCAAGCAAGCAAAAATGTGGACTGTCTGGCAGGGAGCTGGGAGGGAGCAAAAACATGGACTGTCTGGCAGGGAAATGGGAGGGAGCAAAAACATGGAATGCCTGGGGGTCCCCAAGGACTGGATTGGAAACACTGATCTAGATATTCTTTGTGGCAATAATTGATAATGCAAATTCACATACTGCCCCAACCCTTGTCGGTGCTATTTTCTGCACAGTGATACAGTTGGTGTGTTAAGTTTGGTAGATATGCTATATCTTTAGCCAATCTCCAAAACTAGGCTGCTCTCATCACAACAGACTAGATCAATAAATAACAGAACAGCATATCTGATTTTTTTTTTTTTTTTTTTGGGTGAACTGCCACTTTAAGTGAGTAAGATCCAAGGGAGGGGTTTATAATACAACCATAAAAAAACACCAAGTTCCCATATCTTTATAGCTAAGACCAGACCTATGACTCGACAAGGCAAAAATTGATTCATTTGACAAATGTAACTAATTTACATAAATTATTACATAATAATTATAATAATTAGAGATGGCACCATTCTGATACCCACTACCAGTATCGGGCTGAAACCTGCAAATAATGTTGGATTGGATATTGAGGAGGGGGGTGCTGAGAAACGAATCCGACTTTTCAACATTAGTAAGAGTCAGTCGTTCAGTAACATGTGCATTGGAGCTGTCAAATGGGTTGTGGAAATACAGTAACCCTTTCAAATTTGCGAATTTGACATTCACCGCTTTAGTTATTCATGAGTTGACCATGAACAAATTCTGGAGCTTGCCAAAAGACTGCAGAAATTCACAAAAGATGTTTAAGCCAAAACCAACACTGAAAATGATTTGGATCACATAAAATCACATAATATATAAATATTAGTGATACATAATATTTGATAATGTAAGCGCATACTATATTTTTAATATAATAATCTTGGCTTGGGTACATCCTGCATCTGTTTTGGCAACCAGCCTCACTCACGTTAACCGTGTTTGTGACCGTGGAAATCTCGCCTTTCTCACAGCGACTTTTAAACTTTTCCGTGCCATTAATTTAGCATTTTTAATAGCAAATTAATTTTTTTAATTTGCATTTTTAGTCCAAAATGTAGTGCTCCCAGTGTGTACAGTAGGAACTTTGTACATACAGCGCCATAATTTAGATGTTTTGTATGTTATATAAAAAGGTTTTGATAGAAAATGACAAAGTAATTTGACATGCATAGTGTATAGTACTATTTCTCTAGAAAATGGTAATAAATAAACTTCCTATGATTCAGACTAGCAGACTGCTAGGTTAGAGGTACCTGCTATGCATGTAAGGCTAGTGCTGATGTTTCTTAAGTCTGAACACCGTAAAATGTACACAAATTACATGTCTTCAGACTTGCATTTAATTGGTTAATTACCATCTCTGCTCCACTGTATATTTTGGTCTGGAGAACTTTTGACATGAAATAGTTAGTTGGGGGAGTGAAACTACTTAGTGATATTTTTATGTTTGATTTCTTTATTATATTTATTTTGGCAACAGATTGGACAATTTTCACTTCAAGAAATATTTCTGTTCATTTCTATGAAAGTTGTTGCTGAATAAAACATGTTAGTGGTGGATCTCCTGTAGCATGGCGGCAAAGCTTTTGTTTGGAAAACATGACCATTACATATTTTATTCTTAGCATACTTAAGCAATGTTACTACAGTGCTACAGTAAATGCAGACAGTCTACTATGCTAATTGAAATGTACTGACACATATATCGCATTTAATGCTCAGTAGTTGATAAAGGGGAGAAATATCAAATATCATTGGTATCGGTATGGGCAGATACTCAGAATTTTAATATCGGGATCAAACCAAAAAAATATATATCGTGCCATCTCTAAGAATAATAATAATACCAACTATTAGGAAAAGGACAAGAAAACCAGCTGAATTTTCAAGGAAGTTGTTAATCCATATAAAACAGTTATTTTATTTAACTCCCAGAAAACATTTCTACGAGAGGTCATAAGATGACAGACACTGCTATCGTTTACATGCTACACAGCAGGAACAGTACTGGGATTTGGGGTCACTCAAATGGAAACATCATCTTTCCATTTTGTTTGGCTTCAGTACAAATCTTATACAGCTTCAGGCCAGACAATGTGATCATTCACATTATCACGGTAGGGAAGCGATTACTATGTAATCAAAGTCCCATTACCATTCTGTCAGGACAGAACAAACTAAACTGCAGAAGTACTTCGATCACACTGGTACAAGGTGGTTGAAATTTCAGTTTTATGGTTCCACTTGCCCCTGCTCTGTTCTCATCCATGTAACGTGAACAATCCCTTAGAGGATTCAACCAGCAGCTGACTTCCCATTGTGTTTATACAATAATCTAGACCAGAGAACAATTCGGCCCCGTCCTTCAGGGGAATTTCTTTCCCTCCGGCAGGTGTAGGAGGCAGTAGTACTTATCACCTCTCATCAGAATAATGTTCAACAACAACCCTATGGCAAAATGAAGAAACCAGAAGCGGCAGCTGATGTAACGACACGGCAGGTTGACACAAAGTCACATGGCTATTATGAGAACACTGCACACCTGGGAATATTGACTGTGGTGGCAAGGAAGTTTGGGGCAGTGATTCCACTGGAAAGCCTTGATTCTGACCATTAAGTACTGTTGTTGCTACATGTAGTAAGGCCTGCTGGTGCACTGGATCAACTCAGCTCTGGTTCATGAGACGGACATTTTATACTACAGTAACATCATAGCAAAATCGTCAGTAGTCTTGTTGACACTGCACATAGTCTGTGAGTAATAATAATAATAATAATAATAATAATAATAATAATGTCATTCAAATAAATAAATTCATAATGTTACATTTCATTTCACTCATTCATATTCACAGGGTCTCCTAACAAAACGTCACAGGAATGCTTTTTGTCTTACATAAAAACAGAAAAACGAAAACAGACACCATTTTGATCATCATGATTTTAAAAGCAAAACCAAAAAATAAACGTTCCTCTAGAGCAACAAGAATCATTAAAGGTCCGTATTAAAGGAACTGCAACCTAAAACATAAAATTGGGAGTCACTAAACTAAGGTGGCTAATTTCCAAACAAAGCGTTTGGCTGCAGGGCAGTAAAGCTCCCTGCTGATTGCTTGTCAAATTCACACTTTCATTTGGGTTTGCTGTATGACCCTCAAAAACCTTCGGTAAAATAAATAACCTGTCGGTGCCTTTATGGCTAAAGCCTCACAGCCGGCACTCTGCCAAGGCCTGGACACACACTCACTTCCACACACAGTGACACAGCCGCACAGGCTGTGCAGGGCAAAGTCAAACAAGAAAGAACAGTGAGACCGTGGCATGCAGCCAATCCCGCATCCCTTGCCCTTTCACTTGACTGACCGAGGTCAATCCATACACTTCAGAGAAAGTCAGCGGGAGCAGCATCGGACAGCCAAGCAGGACTGAACACAGGCCAGTTTAACCTTTTTTCTCTAATTTTAAGATCAGAGTACCATACAGGCATACATCAGAACACACACGCACGCGCACAAGGACATGCGATCACCCGCGACGTTATTGTCTGCCGCATGATGCGAACGCCACCATGTCAACATTATTGCACTCTTTTCGATATTCATCACCAATTACCCAAAATGGCAGATGGTCCTAGGCGTAGATCCACATTAAATACTAGAGTATATCACCTTCACACCTGCAAATTACTGATAGACATTATTAAAAATGTATGCATGTAGAATAAGCCTAATGTCTCAAGAACTATGATGTCAGAGTGTTTATTGAGTTTCCTTCCCTCTTTTTCTTGTCTTGAACTTGAGTCTGTCCACAGCAGCTGAGAAAAGGAGGAAGGCAGTCCACCACCAGCCTCATGGGCACCTAAAACAACACGCTTAGTCTCCGGTTCTTCCCCTGGTCTGGCAAAGGAGGAGAGAGAGAGAACAGGCAGATGTCAAACCATCATGCAATTCTGAAGGACACGGCCCTTTAACGAAATACAGTAACAGATATGAAATTACAGTCATAGAAGTTTTGGCAAGTTACTTAAGCAGCTGGGGTGTTTTTGTGCCATTAAATGAATGTAAAAGGGCTACAACAAAGAACACCCGATGCCCTTCTGGGGTCTGGAAAAAGGGACACATGCGACAGATAAACAAGGAGCAGTAAAGCTGTTTCATTTCATCTGTTGACACACCGTAAATCAGTTCGGCACACTTAAGGAGAAAAGTGAGACGGAAGGAATTTTCGCTTGAGGGATTGCATGTGCTTCACAGAGATGCTTCCTTAACAGCTGTGGCTTAAGGTCTCTCTCTCTCTCTCCCTCGGTAACTAGGCCTCTGATGACAAGCTTTTCTTCACCTAACCCAGCTGGCAATCCTCATTAGATCCTTCAAGGAGAACCTTAAGGGGAGTAGAGCAAAATTTTTGTGTGTTTTCAGTCCACCAAACAGAACTATTTACACTGGCCTCATCTGCTCCTTAAAACAGTAATTCTCATCCCGGCTTTTTTCCTTCTTGTAGTGCTGCTCCGGTGGTACAAATTCACTCAGTATTGTTCAAACCAAAATTAAAAAAAAAAAGACATCAGACTTACATCATCCCAATTTTTATGCACACACATTCAGTGCAATGGACTAGAGGCCTGAAATATCAGCAAGCACGGAAAGCCAACAGCTGGTAAACGAAAAAGCACCGGAAGAGTGGAGTGTTAGCTCCCTCTAGTGGTCAGAAAGCACCAACATACGCATCACAGAGCTACTTTGAAGGCACGTAGCTTTCAGCTGTCGATGCTATATCAGTCTGACAGGAAAGTTCAGTGAAAGGATCACGGTAATTTGTTATATGAAAAAAGGTGATGACAGCTAAGTGACTAAATTCAGCACTCTGGAGTGTAGGGATGGCTTTTCCTTTCCTCAAAAAGCCTCAGCGACAGAACACATTCACAGCTGTACCACGGCATGCAATCCACCTCATCTACGCCTTTTTATTTATTTTACAGGCTTGTGAAGCAGCAAAACAGTGAAACCAACTCAGTCAGGCTGGAGGTATATTTTATATCTCACACTTAAACAGAAATTGTATCCTCATTCACACTCAAGCTTCCTTTCTTAAGTGTAAAGTCTTCATATCAAAGGCCAGAATTTGATTACATAACACATACATAAGAAACTAAAAAGTATCGGGGGTCAAAAAGAATGTTATACAATATACACAAATGGAGATGACAGAAAAATAATGCAGCATGCAGAGGTTACCTTTAAACCACTGATCCTGGATCAGCGGTATAAAGGCAACCACTGATCCTGGATCAGTGGTATAAAGGCAACCACTGCGTGCTGTATTATTTTGAGGAACTGCATATTGCACTGGTTTTTTTTTTTTCGGTATGTGCTGCAAGATTGGCTCGGCATAAAACAGAATAGAAATTTAGCTTGTCACTATATACTGTAAAATCGAAGTGTGTCTAGATCAGTTTGTATTGATATTTATAGACAGATGACAGATAGAATATCAAAATGGAAACATTGTAAAAGGTGAAAAGACATTTAAATCACACACACCCAGCAAACAGAACAGGAAATGAACAGGTACAGACATATAGTTGGATCAACATGTCCACAAGAGCGAAAATGTACAATGTACTGTATATATAATGTCTAATAAGTAATGTATGTCATTATGCAGAGTTTAACGTGCATTTATAATGTGTTTTTTTTTTTTTTGTGGTTGCCTTTCGTGGTTTCGGAGTTACAGAAAAGTGTGACAGCAATAAAACGTCTGTCATTTCTGTGAGCAGTTAAGGTAAAACCACGTAATGAAGAAAATCCCGGCGCATGTGCATAATAAGAGATGAGGAAGTGTGTGTTTACCGGTGTGTGAGAGAGTCACTCAGCTTGTGGAGGACGTGGAAGCGTAGGACGAGCTCCGTGCTTGGGCGCCCTCTCTCTGGACATACTCCCAAGGAACAGTGCCCACTGTAGATGGCGCTGTTAGGCACATTTGTTTGGGTGGGGGTGGGGGCGTGGGGTGGTTTGGATGGGGTGTGGCAAAGAAAAAAAATCACAGAAGGCAGACAATACAAATGAGAAAGAACGATGGAGAAAGACGAAGAAATACTGAACACCGAAGAGGCCGATGTCCTCAGGTTTGATGGCTTAAGGGGTGCTCACTGTTATATAGGAAAATGTGGTTTATGTTAATCACATCAATGTGCAAGAAAATTAAATGTAAATGTATTTACTAATCGATTTATCTTAATGAATGACTGGTTGGGCTCTCTCACGCCCTGGGCGTAAAGCCTGGAGTTGTCTACGCTCATAATTTTGTTTTTAACGGGTTCATTAACTGCAGCATCAATATGGCTTGAGTGTTTCACTAATTTTATTTAACCTAAAGTGATTCATAATTTTAGAAACATTAAAAACAATTCTTTATGTCCATTGCATTGTAGAGTGTAAATTAAGAATTAAAAATCAATGTATTTAATAAACAACCTATGCTTCTTTTATAACCTTTATTAATATTAGCCAAAAGTTTTCCTTGACTGCTTTTGATTCATTAAAAGTACAAATTTTGGTGCTAGCGGCAGTACCATAAAACAAATACAGTGGTACCTCAGTTCTCGAACTCATTAGAACTCAAATTTCTTAAAAGTCGAACCAACCAGTTCGGAAAAAAATTACCTAGAGCTCGATCTGAATCTCAGAAGTCAAACCGTGAAAGCCAACTTAAGATAACTTGTATGTGCGGGGAAATGAGTCACGAGGCACGTCTCTCAGCGGAAACAAAGGGAAACGCTTC